TGAGCATGAGTAGATGCGCCACTGGTAGGCTATGGGGCAAAATACGCAACACCCCATACCCACTGTGCTTGCATGCTCCAGTCCACATATGACATATGCCATTTTTCCACACTGAGGACTGAATTCTTCACAAACTTGGCTCTATATCTTTGGAAAAAGGCTTGAATATTAGCCATTTTAGGTATCACATGCATCTATAAGGCACGTGCGGTGTAGTGATACATACATTCACCATAATTGAACCAATATGTCTAAATATGATCGTCCGCTCACTCACTAAAACAATATGCAATCAGAAAACTGAAATAAATTCATAAAAATGTAAAAAAAATATTTTCAGTTGAAAACACATGTATACATATTTCAAATGCTCCTGGCAGTAAATATGCAAAGTTTCAAGTGAATATTTTGAAAAATAACAGACATATAGCAAATTAAACACTTGCACTACCTTCACCATATCAGGCCTCAGACCACAATTATTTTCCTTCTTTGCTATCTACAGTGACATGCCAGTGCACCATAATTAATATCGGTCGTAGGCTGTTCTCCTGTTGCATGCTCACCAACCTGCCACTTGTCCTTAATCGGCAAAATATGAGCCTGGATCGACCATGTCGATTTTGCTGTATCCACTGTAAACAATGGTCACCGGAGTTCTGAGCGAAACACACCAGACAGCCTTGAACTTGGGGTCAAATCAAGGAAGGCTGGTGTCAATACCATGAGTAGATTGTGGACCAAAAAACTTTTGCAATAAAGTACAATGTCTTACCTTTCATTTTAAGCTATCACAAGTCACCCTGAAAAAAATCAGCACAAGCAGAACAGCCCATTTAAACAAGGCACTATATTCTCATATTTTACTTCGGGTCATGGTAAAAGTTAAGGGGGTAACTGTGGTCTGAGGCCTATCAGGACACCAAAAGTCTGCAAATTAAATAAAACTTAATCAATACTAAGCCCAGACACTATGTAAGGCTCACAGAAAATTTGAAAGCCCTAACTCATACACAACTTGGCTTATACTGCTTTTACTCCATGCTGTATCTCTGGCATTTGAGTGTTAATTTTGGGCATGAATTAATTTCAAACACAATTCTAATTTGTCTATAACTCCATAACCAGGTGGAAATTGACAAAAACATCAAGTGTTCCTCTTTTGTTATTGCATGTGCTATCAAAGGACAATGATTTCAGTCCATTAAAGCATTTTTTTCATTTTTTTCTCTATTTTTATATACATACATGCATTTTATACTAAAATAATTCCATTAAAGTTCATATTTTTCAACAAAATGAAAATTGAAACTGTTAAATTTGTATTCATTAGAAAGCCCTATCTTTCCTCGTTAAATTGATTGGCTGCACAAGTAGCTGAGTACAGCCAATCAAGTGCAGCGAAGTCACCAAAGCATGTCACTCTCACCTGACACCTGGCCAATCTGCGACAAAGTGTCAGTAGGTGTGTATGGCTCAACTGCGATTTACACCAGTGGCGCCAAGACATGTGTATGTCTTGAGTTTCCAATACATTTTCTAATACATATACCTGCTTGTCAGTGCCAGTGACAACACACAGAGATGGGATATATAAGTACATGCTGTGCTCAGAGCTCATTAGTTCTATTCGACACAATCCGCGATGAAAGCTGACCGCCAAAGGAGAATCAAGTCACAGTTCAGCAAAGGCCATACTCCCTGGAACAAAGGTCTCACCCTTGAATCGGAAGAGTCGGAAAGTGCCTCTCCACCCCAGATACCCAGGACAGTCACTAGGTTGAGTGCAGAAGACTTCTCCCTGGTCACCAAGTCAAGGCTGGATGGCACTGGGCTGTCAACACCTGACTGCGATGGCATCTCTACTTCAGTGAGGCTGCTGCGTCCCACTTCAGCGAGCAAGCATGACCTGAAACAAGAGTCAAGCAAAGATGACTTGGAGGGTATGCGACTAGTCGACAATGAAAAGGTGGCGAAGCATGGAACACAGCTCTGCGACTGCATCGGTCAACATCCAGTGACTGTGGCGACCCTCAGCTGCAGATAGCCAAGGAGAGAAAATGGGGAGCATGCTGGAAAATAACACTGAAATGTGTCACATGTGACTTTGTAGCACCTGAAATGAAGTTATACAAAGAAATGCGGAGGCGGGTAAACCTGGGCCAAACCCAGCAGCACCAGCGTGGGACTTGCCTTGGGTCTACAGGACACACCTATAGGAAATACGAGGCGAGGTTACTGATGGCCAACATGGACATTCCACCCCCATGCAGGAGCAGTATGCAGAGGACCTCCAACAAGGTGGCTAAGGCTGTAACTGAACTTAACACTAAGGATATGGCAGAAAAGGTGGAGTTAGTGAAGGAAGTTAATCGAAAGAGGGGTACTGAGCGTGTGAGATGAACATTGCTATGGATGGCCGATACAACTTCGACAACAATAGCAAGCAGGAAGAAGCCAGGGCAGAATGCATCACAAGCAATCGGCATGCAGCCGAAACTGTTACTGACAAGAAGTTCATCGTCAGTCGTCATTCCAGAATAAGCTCTGCTGGACTGGTGCCTGGCTGAAAGGAAAAGGCATGGATGTGAAATGTCCAGGGGCACCCAGACTGTACTCGCGAACATGTAGTAGGCCTTCACTCCATTCTCTGAGTTCAAAATGGGAGAGGACATTGGTAATCAGCTCGCACTACAGGGTGTACTCATAAAGTATGCCACAACCGATGGGGATTGAAGTCTGCAGATGGAGTAGACAAAGCTCTCAAAGTGTTGGACCCAATGTGGAAGGTGCAAAGGCTAGCTGACCCAACCCACTTGGCTCAAGGACAGTTCGACAATGTTACAGAGCTGATTTTAACCCAGATATGTTCCCGGCACTACTCATTACACATAAAATGGAAGCAAAGAAGGTGCTGAGCCAGGATGTCAAAGCGGTGCAGCCTGATACTAAAAGAACTCATGAAAGATCATGCAGGTGACATGAAAACACTTAAGTAGTATCTTACCAAGAGTGCTCGAAGCAACCCTCAAGTGCTACAGCGGCGACTGCTCCAGGTGTGCCGGTGCTCAGTTGTGTGTAGAGGAGGTGTAACAAACAGCTGGTGGCAGCGATCCATGTTCCTCGGCTGCAACAGTATCACTCATTTCAATATGGATGACAATGATAAACACTTGCTTAATGAAATTCTCAAAATGAAGTTAAGTGTAGAAGTGGTGGAACAAATGAAACTGTACACAGACACACAGAAATGTGAAGCGGCCAATCGATCACTGAGTATTTCTTTGCCCAAAGAATGTAAACTTTTCAAGGAACATGATTGGGAGGGCTTCTTCCACAATTCACAGGCTCAACAATGGCCCTGGGACATCAGCAATCGACAAGTCGCGACCATTCTGGGGGTGAAACTTTCAAGCCGAGGCTGTGCGGTCACTTGAACAAATGGACAAGGAGGCTACCTATCACAAAGACTATCAGAAAAGCCCCAGTGTTGTGAAAAGGAAACTTACACAGCATGGAAGCAAGATCTGTGAACATTTGAAGTCTAAACAGACTGACAAGCAGAGTGGGGACTACAGAAAGGGTCAGTTAGACCCTGTACCGTGTTTCAGCAAAAACCATGAACATTCTTATTCAAAATATTGAAAATGTGCAGTGATGCTGCAGAACTGTATGTGCTAATTACTTCCTAAAGACAGATACTGTGTAACTTTAAGTTTAAATACATCATAATGTCTCTAAAGCTATGTGTTGTGAATAAATGCTATGTCACAACTAACTGTGACTAATGGTGAAAATCAGGAAATATGAATAAAATTTTACTATATTATTTGATATAGTATTTTTCATATACTTTGCCTTTGTTTTCTGTTCTCCTATGACTTCAATGCCAAAGGCAATCTGGGAAAGGTGCATGGCCTTTACACACACCCCTGTTTACACAGGCCACTCTGTCTGCATTTATGCTGTATGGTTCAGCAGACAGGTGTTCGACATAGGTGCATTTACTGTTGTGGCACAAATGGCTGATGTCGTAATCACCTATGTAGAAGTTTTCCCTGTGTACTATAAAACTCAGCCTGTGAGCATGAGTAGTACGCCACTGGTAGGCTATGGGGCAAAATACCGCAACACCCCATACCCACTGTGCTTGCATGCTCCAGTCCACATATGACATATGCCATTTTCCACACTGAGGGACTGAATTCTTCACAAACTTGGCTCTATATCTTTGGAAAAAAGGCTTGAATATTAGCCATTTTAGGTATCACATGCATCTATAAGGCACGTGCGGTGTAGTGATACATACATTCACCATAATTGAACCAATATGTCTAAATATGATGCGTCCGCTCACTCACTAAAACAATATGCAATCAGAAAACTGAAATAAATTCATAAAAATGTAAAAAAAATATTTTCAGTTGAAAACACATGTATACATATTTCAAATGCTCCTGGCAGTAAATATGCAAAGTTTCAAGTGAATATTTTGAAAAATAACAGACATATAGCAAATTAAACACTTGCACTACCTTCACCATATCAGGCCTCAGACCACAATTATTTTCCTTCTTTGCTATCTACAGTGACATGCCAGTGCACCATAATTAATATCGGTCGTAGGCTGTTCTCCTGTTGCATGCTCACCAACCTGCCACTTGTCCTTAATCGGCAAAAATATGAGCCTGGATCGACCATGTCGATTTTGCTGTATCCACTGTAAACAATGGTCACCGGAAGTTACGAGCCGAAACACACCAGACAGCCTTGAACTTGGGGTCAAATCAAGGAAGGCTGGTGTCAATACCATGAGTAGATTGTGGACCAAAAAACTTTTGCAATAAAGTACAATGTCTTACCTTTCATTTTAAGCTATCACAAGTCACCCTGAAAAAATCAGCACAAGCAGAACAGCCCATTTAAACAAGGCACTATATTCTCATATTTTACTTCCGGGTCATGGTAAAAGTTAAGAGGGGTAACTGTGGTCTGAGGCCTATCATCGCTCCGACCGGATCAGGGAAAACTATGGTTGCCATCCACATCGCTAAAGGCATCCTTGAGAAAGGTATTGTCCTTTTACAATCTTTAATTTTCAGTTCGACATTCAACAGTATTATATTAAACCCGAATGACGTTAACTTATTATATATAGTCATGGGAAAAAATAGTTATCATCAAACATTTCCATTCATCATTTCCCTGACGGTTTCGAGTTTACTTACTTTTGGATTGTTCATATGAAAAGGAGCTAGGACTAATCTACGTTTTAAACTCACCTTTGTCATACAACAGTGAACGCCAGCCGGAATAACACAGCAGCTCTATACACACAACTGCAACATTAATCCAGGTGAAAGTGGGGTATTAGTGCTATGATGCATGGAGTCCTGATTAGTAAACGCCAGCCGGAATAACACAGCAGCTCTATACACACAACTGCAACGTTAATCCAGGTGAAAGTGGGGTATTAGTGCTGTGATGCATGGCGTCCTGATTAGTGGGGTTGCCAAAAGGGAGAACATTTAAAATCTTCAATAATATCTATTTTCATTTTTCAGAAAGAAGGAAAGTTATATTTCTTGAGCCAACAGTAGCGCTTGTTAATCAGACTTATCATGAGGTCAGACGTTACCTCGGTGACGAATACAAGGTAGAGTCCGAAAGTCGATCACGCCATTACGATTTATGTGTACATACCGAATTTGATAGGCACACAGACCCAATTGCGACCATAGAAGTTTTGAAGCAAACCTTTGTTATTTAACTAAAATTTGATTATGCAAATAGACACATATCTGGACAAATTTGTAATGTTCTTCATGTGAACATCTATATAATTACTGATTTGTTTATAAATATGAATAAATATATTGATTATTATTGAATAAGATCCTGCGATTCATTAACTGCTATACAGAGATAATTCTGTATATAAAGTGAAACTGTTGTAGGTGATGAAACTGAGGGCGTCGATGGCGACAGCGTTAATCTCCACATCCTCTTGCCATATAGCGACATGCAGTGATGACCCCGATGATCTTGGAGAACCACTTGAAGCAGGAGAAGATCGAGTGTCTGTCCAGCCTGTGTTGTCTGCTTTCGTCCTAGGCGAGTGTCATCACACCGGAAGGAGGCCTACAACCAGATCATGATCAGATATCTGCGGGGAGAAGGAAGGAGGAGCTCAACACCTGCCTCAGGTGGCGTCAGCGGGACAACAATGAAGAAGAGATGAGCGCCAGTGCGTTGTGCACCCGATGTGAAGTCCTAGCGGCTTTGGCGTGATGTTTCAAGTGTATTGATAATGTATTTTGTATATTACCCAACAAAGCATAAAAGGAATATATGGCAGTCATATTGAAACCATCCTTTTGGCTCTCTCTTCCTAACAAAGTATGATTTTGTCAACATATAGTTTAGTCAACATACATGCTGCTCAGGCCGAAACATTTTTAATGGGTTCATGCAGATTGTTGGATTGACGCCCAGCTGATTGGGGTAGAGAAAGCATCAACAGATGAAGAGGCCCTCGACAACATCCTGAGACTGTCGCCAACCTGGACCCTCACTCACCCATAATCTCACGTTGCAGCGGAACAGGAAGGAACTAGACCGTCGTTCCTTTTGCAGAAGAGCGTAAGCCTGGTTATATGAATTGTTTCCTTAGCAAAGGTCGCGTGTGTACCTGTCCTATAGGCCAACTGCCTGCGCCACAAACCTGTAGTCGAGGTAAGCCCCTGTCTGTGTTTGGGCCTGCTCGCTGCTGCTGCAAACCTGTAGTCGAGGTAAAGCCCTGTCTGTGTTTGGGCCTATTGCGCATACAAACCTGTAGTCGAGAATTAAGCCCCTGTCTGTGTTTGGGCCTACTGCGGCCCACAAACCTGTAGTCGATCTAGCGCCCTGTCTGTGTTTGGGCTTACTGCAGCGCCACAAACCTGTAGTCGAGGTAAGCCCCTGTCTGTGTTTGGGCTTACTGCCCGGCCACAAACCTGTAGTCGAGGTTAAGCCTCTGTCTGTGTTTGGGCTTACTGTCGCCACAAACCTGTAGTCGAATTAAGCCCCTGTCTGTGTTTGGGCTTACTGCGGGCATACAAACCTGTCATCGATCTAAGCCCCTGTCTGTGTTTTTGGCTTACTGCCGCGCCACAAACCTGTAGTAGAGGGTAAGCCCCTGTCTGTGTTTGGGCCTACTGCCGGTCGCATACAAACCTGTAGTCGGAATTAAGCCCCTGTCTGTGTTTGGGCTTACTGCGCCACAAACCTGTAGTCGAGGAATTAAGCCCCAGTCTGTGTTTCTAGGTTTGTCAGCACCTAAATGTGCTTGTAGGTTTAACCAAAATGGTGTAGATCTACAACCCATTTCACCATGGGATTTCCTCACACATCTGAAAACTGAAATCTTGTTGAAAGCAAAGCTGAAACTCACACCTCCAGTAATAAAACTGGTAGGCTACAACTGCTAAGCACTGAGCGTTCTGACGATCAGTCTTACCGATCCACTGTGAAGTGATTTTGTTGCGGTTGCAGTTACCATACCTCTAAAGGAAAACAAGAACAGTCAGTCCAAGAAGGTCATAGAAGATGCAATGAAACCGGATTCAGGGCATACTACCAAGGTTCCAGGGTAAGACAACACTAGACACTAGACTGCGATGAGCTTATGAATAATGTTTACAGTCTTGTCGGCATATAAGCGATTATAGTTAATATATCATATATCATATACGGCATATAAGCGTATAGTTAATATATCATATATCATATCGGCATATAAGCGTATAGTTAATATATCATATATCATATACGGTATATAAGCGTATAGTTAATATATCATATATGTTTGGTTTGGAAATTAATGCTGTGATGGTCTGTATTTGTCAGTATCCCACCCGTGCTGGTGGTTTTCACCGTAGCGGTAAGACCCGACGTTTGTTGAATGGGGTTAACCTAACTTCGGCTACTTTACAACAACTCCTCTTCAGACATACAACGAGGTAATTGGGAAATGTTTGCGGAAGCGCCTGCAGACTTTGGTAGCCAGTCGGTACAATAACTGGACAGTGGATCTCAAGGACACCACCACCAAGGTCAACACGCAAGGTGATACCGAACTGACAGAGATGATCATTGATCTGTCGAGCATTGCCCGACCACCTAAATGTAAGTATATTTATAGACTTGATGTCATGCGATAAAGCCACTGAAGACTCGAGGGTGGAGTGACTTCCAGGCCTGTGTGTTTAGCGGCCATATCCCTAATGACGTCTGCCATTTAACTGCTAAAGCAATGCATCTTCATTTGTTACCACTTTCGAATATTTACGTGGAACCCGATCTCAAACTGGCACGAGCTGGACACGAGCACTTCTCGGTGTTTATTAAAATATAGATGCAGCTTCATACAACTCCCCATGCAGTCTATATAGAATCTATATCACCAGTACAAAGTCTTAAATGGACATCTTGAAAAAAATGGTTTGTGTTATAGTCAGTGTGTCAATCTTCGATTCTCGAATTTAGTTGAAAGCTGTGCTTCTTCTCATCGTACTTCAGAAATACAAGCGTAGCCTTGACTTTGAATGACCTTGTTCGGGTCAAGGACGTTATAGACTATGTCCGCAATGAACTGCTGTCCACACACGGAGGAAGCCTGCAAACAGCTGGCGAACAACAACTCCAGAACGAGGCCAACAGTAAGTGAGGTATTTCTGACGTAGTGTATCACATGAGGAAACAATACTTGACGTGTAGAATAAGATTAGGAGGGAAATTCTCATCTGATAAATGTGACGTAGGGAAGGTAAAATTGAATGTAACCACTTCGAGACTATTGCTCTAAAAAGCCACTCTTAAAACAGACAAGAAGTAACTCTGAAATAAAGGTACCAACAATATTGAAGTTACTATCAGTATCCACAAGAGATAATGTCTCTTTTTATAGATAATTATATGTTTGTCAACACTAGTCCCGTGCTTGTGGTTTCACTAACGTGGTCAGCGTCTTAGACGTGCATCACGACAGCCAATCTCCCACATCAAGCTGACAGGCCGTGGTGTAACTGGAATACTGTTCAATGTGGCGTTGAACCCAACTCACTCACTCCTCCCACATCAAGCTGACAGGCCGTGGTGTAACCGGAATACAGTTGAATGTGGCGTTGAAACCAACTCACTCACTCACTCCTCCCAGTGACAGTATAAACCCAGCCCGCTATTAACAGTTCAATTAAATTGTGAACCTTATTAGGTCAGAAATTGTATCAGAGGCGTCAAGAACTGAATACTGTTCAATGTGGCGTTGAACCCAACTCACTCACTCCTCCCACATCAAGCTGACAGGCGTGGTGTAACTGGAATACTGTTCAATGTGGCTGGGAACCCAACTCACTCACTCCTCCCACATCAAGCTGACAGGCCGTTGGTGTAACTGGAATACTGTTGAATGTGGCGTTGAATCCAACTCACTCACTCAATCCTCCCACATCAAGCTGACAGGCGTGGTGTAACTGGAATACTGTTCAATGTGGCGTTGAACCCAACTAACTCACCTACTCCTCCCACATCAAGCTGACAGGCGGTGGTGTAACTGGAATACTGTTGAATGTGGCGTTGAACCCAACTCACTCACTCAATCCTCCCACATCAAGCTGACAGGCCGTGGTGTAACTGGAATACTGTTGAATGTGGCGTTGAACCAACTAACTCACTCAATCCTCCCACATCAAGCTGACAGGCGTGGTGTAACTGGAATACTGTTGAATGGCGTTGAACCCAACTCACTCACTCAGTCCTCCCACATCAAGCTGACAGGCGTGGTGTAACTGGAATACTGTTGAATGTGGCGTTTAACCCAACTCACTCACTCAAATCCTCCCACATCAAGCTGGCGGGCATTGGTGTAACCGAATACTGTTGAATGTGGCGTTGAACCTAACTCACTCACTCAGTCCTCCCACATCAAGCTGACAGGCGTGGTGTAACTGGAATACTGTTGAATGTGGCGTTTAACCCAACTCACTCACTCAATCCTCCCACATCAAGCTGACAGGCCATTGGTGTAACTGGAATACTGTTGAATGTGGCGTTTAACCCAACTAACTCACTCAATCCTCCCACATCAAGCTGACAGGCCATGGTGTAACGGGATACTGTTGAATGTGGCGTTGAACCAGCTCACTCACTCAGTCCTCCCACATCAAGCTGACAGGCCTCGGTGTAACTGGAATACTGTTGAATGTGGCGTTTAACCCAACTAACTCACTCAATCCTCCCACATCAAGCTGACAGGCGTTGGTGTAACTGGAATACTGTTGAATGTGGCGTTGAACCTAACTCACTCACTCAGTCCTCCCACATCAAGCTGACAGGCAGTGGTGTAACCGAATACTGTTGAATGTGGCGTTGAACCCAACTCTGGCTCACTCAATCCTCCCACATCAAGCTGACAGGCCGTTGGTGTAGCCCGAATACTGTTGAATGTGGCGTTGAACCTAACTCACTCACTCAGTCCTCCCACATCAAGCTGACAGGCCGTGGTGTAACTGGAATACTGTTGAATGTGGCGTTTAACCCAACTCACTCACTCAATCCTCCCACATCAAGCTGACAGGCCATGGTGTAACCCGGGATACTGTTGAATGTGGCGTTGAGCCAACTCACTCACTCCAGTCCTCCACATCAAGCTGACAGGCGTGGTGTAACCGAATACTGTTGAATGTGGCGTTGAACCCAACTCACTCATTCAGTCCTCCCACATCAAGCTGACAGGCCATGGTGTAACTGGAATACTGTTGAATGTGGCGTTTGCCAACTCACCCAACTCACTCACTCAATCCTCCCACATCAAGCTGGCGGGCCGTGGTGTAGCCGAATACTGTTGAATGTGGCGTCTGAACCCAACTCACTCACTCAATCCTCCCACATCAAGCTGACAGGCCATGGTGTAACTGGAATACTGTTGAATGTG